AATTCTTTTAATCATACATTTCAAAAATTGATAAGTGAATTAATAAATAAATGTTAAAAGTAGGCCATGGTGACAAAGGTAAAACAGGCTGGACAACTTTTTCTGATTCCTATTTTGTTTTTTTACACGATTTATAAATCTTTAACGTCCTTTACGTAAAATACACCCAAATAACAGTAAATAATAATAATAATAATAATAACATCTATTGTTAAACTCTAATATTAATAACATAATTATCCCTTTTTTTTTAAATAGAACTAGTTTATAATAAGTTAAAAAAAATAGGAACGAATACTTTAAATAGTGTGTAATAAATCAAATCGATTTTATTAGAAATATGTGTTTAAATGAAATTATTTAACAATGTAACAAGGAGAAATTTTAATTGGTAATAAATAAATATATATATAATATATATCAGTTATATGAAAGAATAAAGGCCACAATGGATGCACCAGGATGTAGATATGAAAAACGAAGGACGTTCGCTTTATTTTATCTTACCGAGAATTGTGCTTTATGAAGTATATTATCTATATTGAGCTTAATGTTTTGAAACGACAACAAAGGACCTCTTTGTTTTCGTCTTGTAAGATATTTTGATAAACTATATTATGTCCTCTACCGGACTTTCTATATTAGACATTCTTTATACACTACAACGTTATCTTACGTAACCTCGAGTGTTTTTTTTTTATTTCGTTTTATTTATGTCCTGACATTCTTTTAAAATATAGGATACCGAGATTTATCAGTTCATTAAAGTGATAGCACTTTTTTTCGATCGAAAAAGTTTTAGTATCTTTTTTTTTAATTTAATAAAGTGGATGGCTTCATCAATTTTTACTATTCAATTATAATTCATTTATGTCGCAACTGGTAGTTTTCGTGGGCGATAAATTTCCAAGAAATGATAATGTTGTGTGTCCAATTTTAATACTTAAAAATATTCCCAATTTTAATTCATTTTATTATCGAATTTTTTTGCATTTTCTCCGTCAACATTTTGAGTTTTAATTGGATTTGTAAGAGTTTCCTTCCTTTAAAAAACGAGATCTTCAGAATTATATATTTTTTTTACTAAATTTAAAGACATTTTTTTTACATTTTCGAATCACTTCATGCACAAATATTTTATTTTTTACGCAGGCTAAAAATTTAAAATAACATATAAAAGGAGATAGTTTTGAAAGGGGTACTTCAGTTACAAAAGAACTGAAGGGCTCTTTTGAACTTTAAGATTCTGTGAGTTATTCTTTGTGAAAAGTTTTCAAGCTTTACTTATACTTTTTTATTTAAAAAAAATACATCAAAAGTGTAGCTTTAGAAATATATATATCTATATATTCAAATTTTATTTACAGTCCAGTATATATCTCGTATACTAGATTTACTTATAAATTATTTATACGCGNTTATTCAAATATATATAATATATTTGTGAAAATCAGAGTTGTAATTTTGTTTATTAAACAAGAAGGATATCATTTTGTATTTGAATAATACAGTAATTTATGACTGTTAGGTTATCCTCTATCTATATATACTGTATGTAAAATGTCAAAATAGAAACTGAATTAAAAGTCAAAATACTAAGTTCCTGTAAACATAATTAAATATTAAATAATAATTCTTTTCTTAATTTTAAAAATTCGAAATCTTGAAATTTATACAATAGTTTTGTTTTCTTTTTTACAATTACTCATATAATTTGTAAAACAATGAATTCTCTCCAAGTTTAAATTTATAATCAACCTTTCGACCACAGATCTAAATTAAGAAATTATTATATTATCCACGTCGTGAGTTATATTAATATAGATAATTAGGCAATAAGAAGAGTAAAACACGTTGTCCTTAATTATAAATCAAAGTAGAACAATGGCTACTTTGAATATTCCTTGTCGTAATTATGTCTATGCTTCTGACTTTGAATAAAGGATTAGGCTTTTATTAAACCAAGAGATATCTTTATCCCAATATAAATTATAGAATAAATGAAGGCATTTAAATGACTTAATAAAGGGAAAAAATTAGACTCGAACAATTAATTATATTTTCAATAAAAGTTAAAATTAAAATCGTAAAGGTTTCTACGAATATTTTTTAAAAATTCATTAATATTAATGATACGAAATTCATTAAAGTATGCTAATTTAGAATTATTTTATTAAATATATTTCATAATTTCTTTTTGAACAGCTCGAATTCGAGATACAAACCCCTAGAGGCTATACAAAATGGCTGAAAGTCAATTAATCGTTGTAAAGACTTAATTGCCGTCTTATTTAAATTATTTATTTACATATAAAGTTTAGAAAAATTATTTAAAACGAAACGTATCTTGTTCTGAATTCAGTTTACAATTTGGTTCACAGGTGTACAGTACTTCAGACAAAGAAAAACAAAACGTAATTTGGGACACTTCTTGTATCTCGTACTTCGTCGATTTACGTGTAATGCTGATATTGTTAAGTAATAATTATATTTTCCTTGTTTATAAAAAAAATCTGATTGTTTTTGGATAATCGAATAGAAAAGAAACGACTGGAACCTACAAACGACTTCCTGGTTGTTAGAAATTCTTTAAGATATGACAGGAGATGTTTGAATTATTGTTTGCACTTCCACGATATTTTGATGGGAAAGAACGCGTCTAGTAGTCGCCAAAGTGCTGCAACTTGTCATAAGCTGCAACTAGCGATAGTCGTTCGTCTTTAATGTTGGCTTTTTGTCAAAAAGCGTGGGAAGTTGGGGTCAAAACACGTAGGCGCAACGTCCATGTTGTCTAAAGTGTTTGCCCTTATGCCAACCCTTAAGCTTATTAACAAAATTTATAAAATACCTTAAACTATTTCGATAGCATTTTTAATATTGTCATGAAATAATCAAATGATGCAATAATTTTAATATTTTTACTGTTGTTTATTTACGTATAAACATTTTAAAATATCGACATAATATTATTAAAGCAACTGTAAATATTCCCTGGAAGGTTCATAGAAATTCTACAAATACCCTTGACATATCTGTACGTCAAGGTATGCGTGTAAGGTGAGGCTGTTTAGGATGCATTGGAGAATGTAAATGTTTTTACAAGATGACAGTGTGACGTAAGATGCTGTTATGAAGGATGACTTAATCCATTTTTTATTAAGAACAATATCTTTTACCTTGTAGATATCGAATGTACAAGAGATATTCTATACACTTTAAAAGCTACTAAAGGCTATTCTTATGTTACAAGAATATCAATTTGACTCTTTATGTGACGGCTTCCTCGAAGTAAGCCTGCTTATAATTCATAGAAATCTAAAATGTTTATAGGAAAAAAAAAAGAAGATAACAATAGAATGTTAATAATGAAAATATTTGATCACGTTATCGAATAAATAAATAAATTTAGACAACTTATTAAATTTATTAATATATATTTTTATAATTGAAGATTTTTTCCTCTTTCAATAAATGTGTTATCAAAGGATTAAGTTAATAGTTTTCAGCCTTATAACTTACAAAATAATAGCTTATATTTTATAATTTTACACGACGAAGTTTAAAACGATCCTTATGTTCCTGAATACGGAATCAGAGAAGAAAATCTGAAGTGTTGGGCGTCCTACAGAGATCTAATGGGTTATAAATAGTTGGGTCACCGTCAAGAAAGACATGTTTATAACCGAATTAATAGCAAACGTTCACGTTGCATCACGCGTGATAGTAGAATATACGTAATTTATATTTCTTTCCAACAAGACATTATCCATTGAAAGGCTCACGAGTGCCTATTGTTTGTTTTTTTTCTTTTTTGTTTTGGAGAGACAATAATTATCGTATAGAAAAATTACAATTTTTCAATACCCGTCTTAAATGATTTTAACCTAGAGCCACTGTAAGTAATATATTTTAAAATATTCTTAAAAGCTACCGACTCGAGTGTGGTCCAGATAACAGATCAAAGATTATCCAAGGTTGTTTTAACCGTGGGTCAATTCCGCCCAAAAACTTATCTTACGCCCTCTTAAATGATTTTTTCCCAGGATTTTCGTTATGGAAGGAACGAGAGGCGTATTCTTCGGGTTAAAGGTTATGTCAACCTGGGGCTACCTCAACCTGTCGATGTGAATATGATAAGATGGCATCATGGACTTTGGAAAAATCATCGCTATTGGGGGAGATCTGTGGAAAGGGGGCGGAGGTGTTTGAAAATCGGGAACCCCAACAGGGTTATCTAAGTGTAAAATCGCTATGACGAGTCTTCTCGGAAAATTGGACCATGTTTTTGTGCCCGCTTCTTCTCGTTAATGAGCAGTTAGATATATAGGAAGTACATCGACACTATATGAAAAACTAATGCCCATATGACAGGAGGCCCAAAGTCCATCAGTTATAAAAAAAAATTCTCATTTTTGTAGAGGCCTCTTTTAAGGGGTATTTTTACATGTTCGATTAAATGTCAAGTTGCACAAATGACCGTATGCCCGAGAATATTGATTTGGAAAATTCGTGCTCATCGTATTTATAAATAATATTTCAAAACGGAAAAATCGTATATCTAAATGAATGGTTCCTAATTAAGCTTAATGACGTAATATAGCGTGACTTCAGCCGGATTTGTCATAGTATGCCTAAGGGTTTGGTCGCTAACATATCAGCGACCAGAGCAGATAATAGCTATTAACTTGATCTGCTGGCGAAATGAAAGAAGGAAACTAATGAAACTAAGCTTGTAATGGAAAGAAAAACACTAAATTGGTTTAATTTGATTTAATGTATTGATTATGTCAAGAGGTAGTGGTTAGAGTGGAACCCGTTGCACTTTTATCTCATCCTCCTTTTACAACATACTGAATTTAAAAAAGAAAAAAACTAAAATAAAATTATTACATTCCCTATTATAAATTATCCATGCAATAATAAATACTACTTCTTGCATTCCACATTTAACCGTTCTTCAAATTTTAAGTAATTACAAGATCATATGCACAGATACTTACGTTTTAAATTTTAAACGGATGGCAAAGATAAACTGGTTTCTTCTACTTGAACTTTCAATGTCGTTCGAGCAATGGAATAGCTGCACAAGTATCTAAACAATAAAAAGAAATTTCTTGATATTCTTGTTTGAAGGTTAAAGATTCGCTTTCATTTCTTCACATAAAAAAAGGAAAAAACACTATGCACAACAAGTATAAATATGTATCTTTTTAATTTATTTTAAGTATGCAAAAATTTATAACTTAATGGAAGTTTTTTAACTTAAAACACGAGAATATAAATGTTCAATTATTAATATATTAGTATAAATGACAAGAGAAAGCAAGTAACCGAGTTATATTCTAAATTTAGGGTATTTAAAAATTTATAACATTAAGAAAATTGAAACCGAACTCCTTGAAAGCTTTCTTTGTCCGAAAGTTGTATATAAAAACACAAGTCGATATATAATAATAATTACTTGCAAGATTAATTGCAAACATTAAACCAAACGTTACTTAATCTGAAGATACAGTTCGGAACAGATTTGTTGCCTTGTTATAAATAATCTCCTCCCTTGTACTTTAGTATTAATGGCTATATAAATCTAATCAATACATGGCCCAACATAGAAATATTTATATAGGTTATCCAGAAGTAGATTAATAAAAAAAATTCACATTAATCCCTAGTACCTTCAAGGGCGGAACTTGGAGACTATTTATTTGACTGGGCGTCTACAGCCAGCGATGTATTAATCAAGAGGGTGTTCTGGACAACTTAATTAGTGAGCGAGACACGGGACACTGTGGCCTGCTACACGCGACAACCCAAGACAAGTGTCCCATTAGATAGATGCACATCGGGACATCAGGATATTGCGATAAGACATTTCTAGCTTTACTGTTTTCATGTACTAAGGGTGTAGCTAACCACTACTGCATTTTTATATCTATTAAGATATTAGAGAATTAAATTGAAATTTCTACGAGACATAAGTAAATTTATTCTTTAAAATTTAATTGTTACTATTTTAAGTATAAAATTATTATTATTTTTTAAAAAATGAATTAAAACACCTCAATATATTCGGTTTACGATTCATATTCACAAGTGAACAATTATACAAAACACGGGTTTTTTTTAACTTAGGCTAAGTCTGGTCGATTCTTCATATAAAGAATATTTAAAAATCTATAAATAAGAATGATTTATCAAGTTATGTAGATTTATATCTAAATGAAACAGTAGAATGTTCATACAGAACAATTCATTATATTAAATATAGCGGCTATTCATTTAAGATGAAAACGTTATATGTAATTTAAAGTGTCTAGCTGCATTTAATACTCAGATAGAGAGAGATGATATGTAAGGGTGACATCGAATTAATCTAAATGTCCGAGAGACTAGTTTAAGTTTAAAGTCGATAAGAATAATAACTCATATGTCTTCCTACAATAGATCTTCTCGCTTGATAGTTGCACCACTTGCTGCACGAGTGGCGTCGTTTCAACAGATATCGATCGTCATTATTTGCTTTACTTTGCGTACTTTTCTGTACAAAATAGTACAAATTGAATAGCGTACATTTTGAATTAAAAAAAAAAACATTTTATACGTGTATAAGTCTACGCAACTGGATACACAAACAAGAGAAGTGTAGTGTTTTTTACAAATAAGGAAGATGGATATGTTTCTAATAACGGGCAGTTGTGAATTTTTTTTTTTTTTTTGCTTTTGATGGATGGATATAGTTCGTATCGATAGGTCTACAGTCAGGACACGTCGTAAGGTGAAAGTTTCGGAACCCCGAGAGTATTAATTATCACTCTTTGCCATCAACACAAGTAGCTCGCCGACTCCCAGACAGGGTGTGGCGAGCAGATGGCTAACTTCGTTCCCGCTAATTTCCTCTTACATGATGTCAATTTTCTTCTCTGGAGATGAACAAAGTCGACTATTCGATATATCTATCGAGTGAAATTCTTTAAAAGATTGTTATCTGTTCGCTTAAACAGTTCGACAATCGATGCATATAATAATATTATGTACGAATTTATAAATATGTGTATTGTATATACAGAAAAAACGTTCTAATATCTGGCAATTTGCCACAGATCTTACCTACGATTTATTCTTAACCGTTTCATAAGTAGATCTAACCTTGAATGCCTTCACGTTTAAATTTTCTTTACAGTGCGTCATCGCTTCTAAAGTTAAGAAAAAAATAATAATAATGATGAAGAAGAAGAAGACATTTATGTATATAGAATCTCACTTTAAACCAATTTGAAGATTAATATCTCGTTTTTTTTTTATACTGCAAAGTATAATTAAATTCGTTTAACCGAATAGCCTATAATTAAATGTATTATTCTAGCAAATTTACCACTTAGAATATTGAATTTTTATAGTATAAGACGTAGATATAATTGTTTAATATTTTGATAATTAGTTTTTGCACTAATTAATGAATACCAGTTTCACATAATTCAGATAAATTTTCTTTTTTAAATGCAAATTTTACTAACATCAAAATAAGGTTTTGCAAAACACTTTGCGCGGCTGCATTTTAATTGACTTTTCTAAGTTACAATTTTCATTAAGTAACTACCTTAAATGGTAGTTATTTAATGAAAATTGTATCAGAAGTTCAATTAAATTACAGTTAAAGGACGAATGCCAATCAATAAAAAAAGAAGTAAAGGTCTATCTTAAAATCAGTAATCTAATAATAACTACAAATACTGTAATTAACTGGACATTATAAATCCAAAAATGGAGAGCATTTCTACCTACACGCTCCACCTCTTCTTATTAGAATTTTTTTTTTTTTTCGGAATTAATGTTTTTAGAGCGTTAAATTTAAAACGTATTATCATAAATAGAAATATTATATCCGAGTTGTAAATAAAAGTACATTATCAGAGAAAGAGTAGGGCATATATCAAAAGATATGCGATCTCATAAGTCTATTTATTTTAGACCTTTTCTTAAAGCAAAGGGCAAAGGCTAAATAAAAAAAAATTAAGTTACTGCAAACATCTTTGATTTGTATTCAGCATAAGAACGAATTAAGCTGCCTGTTGGACATGTTATCTACTTGTTATCTGAACCGAGCCAGGTAGAGTAGCGAACTCCTAAGTACATCATTCTAACCTATTGACCTTTTTCTTAGTTGCACACACCAACTTTTTTTTTTTTTTTTAACCAATCGATTTTTTCTGAACATGTTTTTATCTGGACAAGTGTACTTGGCGCAGAGCTACCGGCTTACCTGCTGTGAGTCGGTGATAAATATCCTATATCCGGAAACATAGACACGTTGATGGAGTTTTGTAAAGCTATGAATACTCCTTTTATTCTATGATTAGATAAGTATTCGCCAAATATTTAATAAGTAATTAATTTAATACCATGTTTTCGTGCATAGAAAATCGAAAAATATTGTCGAGTAAGTAGAAAATAATTATTTTCAAACAGGTTGTTTGTTGTATGAGTCGATGTTTGGCTGACTTACAACACTTTGTAAAAATGTTGCAATTCAGCCAAACTCCGATACCTACGATCCAATAAACATTTAAATTTGACACATCTGTTGCAACACGATAATCGTAGAGGGTGGCCCAAAAATCAATTAACAGAGCTGATTGCAAAAACTTTTATATCTTTCAACAATAGTTCATTATATATAGGCTATATATGTATTTTTTTTACAATTAAAAATGTAAAAAACGTTGACGAAATTTAAATATTTAATACAACGAAATAATTGTTTACTCAGTTCAGTTGAATCATTGAAGAGAAAGGAAAAAAAAACTGGAATGCAAGATGAAAATTCAGCACTGTTTTAAGATTGAATCGATTTGCAAAGATAGATTATTGGCTAAATTTTTACTTCAGTGTTTAAAGAATCCCGAAGGCTATCTTAGAAGGGGGATAGTTAGATGGTGTCACAGATGCAATAATTGATAGAGGGTTTAAGCGTATAAAAGTAGCCGCTGCCTGAAGCATTAAAGGGAACAAGGAAGCCGATAAATTTCCAAATATAATACTTACTCAACTATTAAGGATTACGTTTAAAATAATACCGTTATTTTTTGTATTATTTCTGGAAGTTCTTTTTATAAAATTAAAGAAGATCATTTTTCTAGCGTTATCTTTTGTGTAAGTATATCAGTAATAAGATATTCCTATAATTAAAACTCTTCTGGTCGTTAACTTTAATATAATTTGACTTAGAATTTTTACTTTACTTACAGCCGATGCTAGAACTTCCTTCTTCGGATACACTTCGGCGCGGTCTTTAAGAATGTAACGAGTGTTTCTTTCATCGAGTCGATCGTAGTTGACTACTTCACAAATTCCTACATTGCTCTAAATGGAACATTCCGATCGTTAAGCCGACAATGCCGGGCTAACCTCACCCCTCGACACCACCTGCGAGGAAGGAAGTGACCTAATTGGATGCAAGTGACAGGTACGTCATTACTTACATCAATGTCACGTGTTGTGATATTTACAACAACCAGGGTGCAAAGCACCCTTGAGGGGTCTCAGGGTGTAATCCGCCCCTTTTCTCGACAGCTGGCCCACCGCCAAACATGACTTATGATCTACTATAATTACACCAGCTTTGTTTTGGCTAATCATAGCGGCTTGATCCTCCGTCTGGTACTGAAGAGGCCCTTCCCTTCTATCGTGGGCATTGCTCTATGTTTTTTTAAACCGACATTTCGGTCGAGTGATAACACCTACTAGTCGATTGTGTTAATTCCGTGTCATATAGAACTCAAAAGTCCGTTTTAATTCGTTTCATCGCGCCAATACATAATAGTTCTTTAATTTGTATTGTTCATTAATTAAGGAGTTTCCATAATGACAATATTTTAAATTTATGCCCACAATCTCATTTACATTTCACTATAGTTTAATTGTACAGCATTAGAGAATAAATAATAGAGAGTAAATAATAGAGATTATTTACTCTCTATTATTATATAATATATTAGAGAACTAATAGGAGATGAGTTATAATCTAAATCTTTAAAATTCTGAATTATTAATTAATAATAAAGTGTAAAAGTATTGCATAAAAACAAAAGCAAAGAAGAGAATAGAAAATGAATGAAGTTTTAAAAAAAAAAAGGTGTACCTGTTATAAAAGTAGAAAATTCTCGTATGCCTAGAAGTGATATGAGGCCATTAAGCTAAATACATTTTCATAATTAAAAATACCAATATTAATTTATTACATATTAATTTTGTAGATAAAAATTAATTGGGGGTCACGTCAAAATTTATTATGGATCTCGCGTGATCGAATAAATTCCACTCTCCAGAATATTTCTTAAGCAAATTCTGATTTAGAAAAAAAAAAAATTGGATATGCAAAATGAACTTTGACCTTTAATACGTAATACTTGGAAGCAAACGAACAATCCATGAAACACGACGGACATAAGTTTTAGGATTTCCTTCTGAAGACAGAGGCACATGACAGGTTAATCGGTACACATACTCCCGCGATTCGTTACAAAGGAAAATGCATACGTAATTGTGCAGTACCGATGGCGTAGAAGTGTCTTCGGGGGGTTCAGGCCACCCTGCTCGATGGGTCTTTAGATTAATCGTTGCAACAATGCAATTCTCTTGCTTTAGTAATCCACGATGTCGACACCGAGGTCGTTGTAGAAACCACTGTCACGCCTTCTTGGTGAAACCATTATTTTCAACCTTCTGTGAGGTCTTTTAACTTACCTGTATTTTTTTAATTGGACTATTTTGACCGAATTTTTATGTAATTTGATAGAATTTCAAATTTGTATGTAAATCAATCAATGATTAACGACTCGGATATCGAATTTAATAGCAGTAATTGTATATTGTGGAAGTTAAACGCTGCTGCTTTTTTAACTGACCCTCTTTTGTTTTGACGTTCCCATGCCCTTATAAGGACCTGGCCTCATTTTACCAGCATCGGTATTGAACGAATTTCATATTATTTCATTATGGTTTTTATATAATTTTCCACGAGATTTACAAAAATAAGGAAAAGAAAAAATAAAACACAGTTTAATTAGAAATTTGAACTTATTTATCAACATCGAAATATATCTTTTACACGAACAATCGGTTGTAATTTGAGGATATTTCTTTTAAACCGAGGAGTAACAAATTTACAATGAAAAATAGGAAACTAATATTTGTTACTTCGATCGGGATTGTCTTCAGATTACGGAGCGTGAACGGGGTGGCCCAAAAGTTAGTTAACCACATTCTTTCTCGTCTTCCATTACATTTTATGAATATGAAATGACGAATCGGATTTGTTAAAACTTCAAAATCTTAGATTAAATCGTACAAATTATTAGAAAATATTGACGTAAATTAAAATAATTATTTAAACGGAAGATAATCGATTTGTCGAATAAGTTAAAAACGTAACAAAAAATAATTGTCTAACAAATAGAAAAAGATCGATGAAATGCCGCCGCCATATACAGTGGTGACTTTGTCGTCTCGTGTTGAAGTCCGGCATTTTATTTGTTGGCAGAAACTCGACTTTAGTTTAGGAAAGGAACGATCGGAATGTTTAAAATATAAAATAATAATATTTACTTAACGTCAAAAAATTGATATATCATAAAATGATAAATGTTTCACGAAATGTTATACTCTTGAAAATGTAGATAATGTTATGATATATATAATTTCCACTATCGTTGTTGTCAGCGTATTAAATAAAAAAAATGATTTGCTGCTATTTAACTTAATATATAGGAAATAATTCTTTTTAATTGTATAAAATTAACTTAGAATTTGTATTTTAAAAGAATGAAATAAGAAAGAATTGGTGACGTTTTTAATTACGTCGTCAAAGAGAATATTCGAAAGTGCTGCCAGATAGAACACATTGAATGACGTGTTTGCTTTAGATTTCTTTGAAATAAAATCAACTGTTTTGCGGGATAAGTAAGTAAACGGAATCAATCATCGTTTCTAATAGTCGGTTAGCCATTGTTAGCGATATTATCTCCATATTACAAAGTTGTAATAGTATATAAGAAACGGTAAGTTTAGATAAGTAGAGATTTTCTATGACAGGTCAATACGTCACAGTTGTATCAGTTATGCGAAGCTGATTAAGTCGTTTAAAGCCCGGAGCTGTATCATCATTAACAGACCGTGAAAATTCTCCAAGACCCCATTTACCAGAAGTTACTGTCCATCATATCTACTTCCCCCTTATCTGGCGGTAGGCCTATAATGGAAATATGGCTATAGGCTGATCGATGATGGCGTCGCGTCACGTGACCCAATGGTGTGGGAAAAAATATTAAAGGAAAGTATTTTAGCTTTAGTGCATTTAATTCGATTAATCATGCGATGAAAAGTCTGAGAAAAATTCCCAAAACTCCTAATAAAAAAAGGAAGAGAAGAACCATATCGATGCTTTCCGGAGTGATAAATTATCGTTCTTGCATAACTCGTCCCATCGTATATTTTATATGGAAAATTGCTTTCGATAGTCTCTGTCTGAATTTCGTCATTTTGTCACCATTCCAGAAAATATATTCGATATCTCTCGAAATTTATTACGTTTCGAGAACGTTTTAATTTCTGCTTTTAAGGACTTCAAATCAAGTACCGAATGTAAAGAATACTTCCTATACATCCTTTCCGATACATCCTACATTTTGTACGGTGATTTCTAGTCTTTGGTTAAAAATCATTGTAGAGATTCGACATTTTTGAAAAATACAAACGACGTTTTTAGAATAAGCAAATATTTTATACGGTTTAATACAAGTACGATGTGTTTCCGGCTTTTAATAACATACCCAAGTAGAAAGGACAAACTGATCTCGGTTCCCACGCCGGGTTTCATGCGGGTACTACGTTACAGGGTGCCGACAGCAGACATTGACGAATGGGCATGGCCTTAGCAGGCGAGATCTATCATGGCTGCTGTTCCCTGTGGTTCACCGTACCTGTCTCCAAAAACTCCCAGATAGACCTATGGGCGGAGTAGAATTTTCTTCCCCTTAGACCGTAATAAAAAAAAAAAGAACATTCTCTTTTACGTTTCTATGTCTATGTATACGTATGTCGAGAATGAAGCAGTGTATATAAATTAAAACAATTGTTTATTTTATTCTTCTCACTATATCTTCTCGTATTTACAGGAAGGATTAGTAGTTTTGACCATGGGCTATTTGTTCCCGACAAATATATACGCCTACTAAAAAGTAGGAAATGGTTTCCGAAAATTTTCTAAATTAAATTCGATTTTATTCCGGATCTAGAGAAAATATTTTAATATTACGTGGGTGTTGCGTGGGTTTAATTCGCGCCGTAATTTAATTATTTAAACAGAGGTCGAGATTTTCTGGGTGAAGTTTTTTTAATAGACACAACACTAACAATAAAGATCGTGAGGAAGTCGACTGACGTTTCACATATAAAAGAAAACGGTTTATCTACTTTCCTTGTATCAGAAGTTAAAAAAAATCTACTAAACTTTAATTGCTATGTATAATTTAGTTTTATAGACTAAAAATATAAAAAATACAGAAATTAATGAACAAAAAAAAAGCAGAAGAATAGTTTTTCCACAGGCCTTAGAGAATTTTAATCGATTAATAAGTTAAATCTATGTTTACGATTATTGAGATTATCCAAAATATTTGTTAGTTATATAATATAACAATGATTTCATTGTCACCTCCTTTTAATTTCCACACTACCATACAATTTAGACAAGCGGGAGCGTATCTAATCGAGTGAATCACGATTTCGATGTTACCAGACCTCCGAGTAGTCAGAAGGAAATCGTACGAGTAAAAAAAAAAAAAAAACTGAATGGCCAGGTGTTTCTGTAAGGTACAGGGTCAGAGTTGAAAAAATACAAAGATCGTGAGTGCCTAGTAAATATAATATCAATGAAGATCCTACATAATCACGTTCAAAGTTAAATTACTGCTGTTTTACGTGCCATTTTTCGCGTGAAAAATCACATGAAGATAACCCCCCTGTGTAGTAGCGATATATGGATAAATGAAATTACTAAACAGGAAATGATAACAAAAAAATTCTCGGAATATACGTGATTTATCTGTTTAATATTTTAATACATTAAACAATAACAATAACAATGTATATATATATATATATATATTTTTTTTCTTCGAATTTATTTCCAGCTTTTAATTTGTTTATTGTTAATTAAAAATATTCCTTCGTATTTCGTTGTGAGACTCGTTCGAGTAAGCCACTACTTCTTCGTCTTTCCAACAAAACATTAATGCTTAAATGCAAAAATAACAAAAGGGAGCGCATTGTATCCGAGTGACGTGTACGGAGTGTTTAGAAATATAATCCTTTTAGATTCTGGTAGGTGTGTCCTATG